GCATTATAATTAAGCAGCATTGACAGATCTGCAATATGCAGAGTAAGCAGATGGCTCATGGACAGTGAGAGGGAGGGGCAGGGGGTGTTGTGCCACGACGGGCTACAGGTCTCGTGTTATAGCAGCTGGCTGTCAACTCTGGGATGTTGTATGTCAGCAAAACGAGTTTTTAAAAAGGAGACTGAAGAGTGATGGAGATTGAAAGAAAAGAGAATAATGGTGGATTGAGGATAAGGAGATCTAATATTGGATCATAAATGATATACTGCAACTTATGACTGTCACTATCAATACGGGGGGTTTTGGCACTTTTTAAAGCGATCAATTATTTTGTCAGAATGATACTGAATCAGTCAGACTATTGTGTAATTCTAAATAAAGCCGATGTATGATTTGTCTTGTCTGACAGTAAAAGATCAGAATAGTATTTGGTATATTGAAAAGTATGACAAATAGCATAAAATGCTTATACTTTCAGAAGTTGCAAGCAGCAAATGTTTTAGCAGTTTTGCTCAAAAATCTGATTATTTTATGGTTACAATAATTAAATTTTGTCTTTTGACTATTTTAGAATTTGGTTAATTGTTTGGGCAGCAGACTTACAGTGGCCCACTGGAAGTGACTATAAGGCTGATTTTGACTGTAAAAAGTTTTTTTTTTTTTCTTCAGACATAGAACCCAAAGATGTCAAATGCTAATTATAGCATATGTAAATAGTCATACAAGGTTATGGTCTAAATCAAGATAGCTAAAAATAGCTAAATAAGAATACAAATCTGAGCAGTCTGCAGAAACATTCAGTCAATACCAAAGGCAAACTGTCTTCAAACAGTGCTGCTATAGCCCTGGTGTACTACGCTGACACGAACCGCAAGTCTAAAATATACTGGACTGACCTTTCTATGAATGTCATAAACCAGAACTACAGCACTTCCTTTCGTGTGTTTCTTCATCTCCTCTCCCTGTGTGGCACTGATGTCTCTTTCCTCCCCTCTATTTCCACTCTCTATCCTTCTCAATCCCAGCTTTGATGTATGCATGAGGGAGGATTTCCTGAAGACCAAAGAGGCCATTACCCAGGGGCCATTAGGCCTCTAGTAGAGCATGTCAATGAGTGCTGAGTCTTGCTCTGTTTTCACATGCGACCACTTGTCTATGTGGGTGAGGCAGGGAAAGATTCTCCGGGCGAGATAAAATAAAATGTAGCTTTTAAATGCTCATATTTCTTGCAAATACATCTCTACTTGTAATATCACAGCGCTGTTTGTGTGCCCTGCTGTAGAATTTAATATAGGGTTTGTTTACTGTACTGTTGCACGTGTTGAGGTTGGGTCATTAATTGGCGCTGTTGTTCTTTCATGCAGACTAAGAACGAGGGGAGTGAGTCATCATCATCAGGATGAAACGCTCTGACATTTGAGCACAAAAGTCCCAGAGTGCTTTGCAGCCCATCGTCTCTGGGTATGTTTGTATTTTACAGTAAGGTATACAGAGCACTGGGGCCTGAATCAGGGATTTCCCTTATTGATTTTTTCACAAAGCGGTTAGGTCGTGTAGGAAAACACTGTGTTATAGAGCCAAGCAAATAATATGGCATGGTGGGCTATATAAATATTTATGTAAAATAAATGTCTTGTTTGGAGGTTTTTTTCCTGATCTTCTTAGTGGATAAAACTAAATAGGGGGATAAGCTGTGAGGTGAGCAGGGAGCGAAGTAAAAGAGACACAAAGGGAAAATAACCTTGATTACTGGAATCACTTTGCTGATCTTTTCAGTACATCCCCGTGGAAGGCAAGGGCACTGTGCCTTTTCTCTGCTATGGTTAAAAAAATACTCTCAAAGAGAGCATGTGGCAAATGAGTGACAGTATATCATACTCCTGTTTTTACAGGAAACACTTGAGAGGATCATTGAAGTTTTCTGAGAGCCTTGGGGCTCTCTCTCAAGGGCAACTGACTCTATCATCTGCACTGAATGCGATGCACAGTCATTGTCTAATCAGAAAAATAAAATCTTAGCATTCAGCATGCTGACTAGAGTCGGTTTTACAGAGGGTGAAGCCTCACATTTTCTGTCCAGCCCACCAGAACATCAGCACAGAGGCCACAGAAAGAGACGGAGGAGGAGGTTAAGGGAGAGAGAACGATGGATAAGGTGGAGGAAAAGTGAGATAAGAGACCAGTGCAGCTCTGTGTGTATGTGTGTGTACTTGTCTGGATGTGTGGAGCGTGCCTTTACTGGTGACTTCCCCTGAGGCCTGCAGACAGGGAAACAAGGAGTGATTAATTTTACTCTAACCTACTTGGCCTCTGTCTAGGAGAGCACTCCTCAGAAAGGAAGCTGGAGTCCAGTACACAGCTACGAATCCTGCCTCCTTTCGCAACACTCACAAGGATCAATAACAGATTGGCAGGTCAATCACTTCGGACCAAAACGCACGGCCAATGAGAGACACCCTATGTAGCGGAGCCCCGCCTCTTGTCTACTTTTCTCACCCTCTGAAGGCTCAGCAAAGCTTGAGGCCATTGATCTGTGTGTTTTCACTGAGCAGATCCCTTAGCTGGCCTGATCGATCAGCTATAATAAAGAGTGGATTCTCTATAAGCGTTGGAACGTGGTCAATGAGATCCAAGGCCCCAGGGTGGCAATCACCTCTTTTATCTTCCTCTTTTCTGCCCACGAACGCCACTGCAAGTGCGGGTGAATTAAATTAAATTTGCATTTAAGGTGTGACATTGTTGAATATGACCCGGCCAACACGCAGTGTTACTTAAATTGGTTGCCAGTGTTATTTTGGTCCCCAAAGGTATGTGTACACACTGTTATTTTATTTGCATAGATTAAAAAAAAAGTCCAGCTCTGGACAGCTCTTTTATTGAGAGAAATCTACAAACTGTTCGCTCATTTAAAATTAGTTAATTTTTCCATGTCCTGGCCCTTTGAGTCAGGTGAATTGAGATACGTTGGACTAATGTATGTTTGAGTGGACGGATTGAACCAGGGGTGTCAGTGAGTCAGCACAAACGTTTAGTGTGAGTCAGCCAACCTACCAGTATCTGGTTGCTGTTATTATTAATGCGCTGATGGGGAGTATAATGGTGTAAATTCATGTGTGAGAGTAGCCATCAATTAAGGTTATTTTTCCCAGCGTGGGGAATAGTAATGTATCAAAACATGACTGTTTCCTGCCTCTCTGCTACACATTTGTTTGGATGAGAGGGAGATGCTCAATATGATTAAAAAAACTATAGCTCTGGGAACTATAGAAGTGTATTTGTTTCCTCATTTCCTGAGAAACAGATGTTTGTTCTGACTGAATGATCCGTGACAACTATGTACATAAGCAGGGGACTGCTGCTGCTGTAGCTCTTCATCCCTGCCATCAGGTGGGTTTTTCCCCCTCCTGCTGAGGTCCATGCCCCGCAGTGTGTCCTTTCTACCAAAACAGCCCCGTCTTCTCTGTCAGGGAAGAGACAGAAATGCTGTGCAGCAACCCTGCCGACTGCTGTGCGGCTTTCTGTAGCAGAGCACCTGCGTGTCCCCTGCCGAATGACTGAGCCAAGGACAACACAGCTACAAGAACGACTGTCTCTCTGTGCCCAGCAAATGAGGTGAGAGATGCATGACTCCCCCAGGAGCAGCCGAAGGGGACCGAGTGTCCCGAGCCTGCGCTTTTGACTGGCAGACAACTGGAAAAATCAGGAAAAAAACAAACAAACCTGAAGCCCTGAGCACCTTAATCCCTAACCTCTGGGATTTTATAGTGTCGCTTGATCGCAGTAATGAGAATAAATATGAAGTGGCACACCTTAAGTCAGAAACTATACCGTTTCTATATATTGTATGAATGTACCTGAAATATGGGTTTTGTTTAGGTGCAAATGTGCCCTCCAGTTATAGAAACAGGAAGATCAGAGAACAGAGCAGTGCAGGAAAAGGTAAAAAAGCAGGTACAGGTGTGCATGTGTGCACACATACAAAGACACACGCACACACACACGCACACAGCTGATAGAAGGAGATAGTCACTTCTCCAGGGGGGAACTTCATGCTGAATTACATTTACTCTGAGGTTTCTGTGCATCTCTCCTCCTTGTTTACCTTTAAAATGAACGCTATCTGACTTATATGTCCAGAGGAAAAGTTGCTCCACTCAAATATGACCTATTAAATAGCTTGTGATAATGGGAGGTTGCTATTTATGAGAAACAAGGAGCCAGACTCTGCCTTTCTGTAAATTCAAAGCCCCTTGATCCAAATAGCCGGTGAGAGCATGAAACACTATTGCTAGGTATCTAGGTGGCTAATTTTCCTTGCATCCATTTAAATGTTCATCCACTGGACGAGAGGTCTTAATGAGTAGAACAAATATAGTTTGGGAAGCAGCCCCAAGGCCACTGCTGCTGACTGTTTATACTCTAGTTAATATAACATGGCCCTCTGGTATTATGCTTCCAATTACCCCAAATGACACCTTGGTTTCTGATCATAATCTCGAGTCTGGTGAAAACATAAGAGTATGAACTGGACATGAGGAGGAGGAGGAGGTGGCCTGATGCGCGCCCCCGTCTGTTGCACAGAAGTAGGTTGTTTGAATGGAGGAAGGGCCGCCAGTGCCAACAGCTGAGTCAAGTGTCACAGATGGACGAGGCGATTGCAGGAAGTTGGGCTACCAGGCTTACAAAAATAAAATCCTAAAACTCTAAAGCTTAAGTCTAGCCAGAGAGCTTTCTTTAAAAGAGCAGCTAATTTTCGAAGTTGGTGAAAAAAGCGCATCATGTGTGGTCAAAAAATGCTCATATGATGTAAGACCGCTGAAATTCGGGTATTTTCTGATTAAAAAAACACTTTTGGCAGGTTTTCTGGTCTCTTTTCTGTTGGATACTGGCCTAAAGGCGTCTCATTGTTTTATTTTGAAAGTCACAATGGGAAAATTGAAGCGGCACAGAGACCAGCTTCACCGTGTATGGTTGTTACATTGGAGACGTTGGGAGAGAAAAGGAGCAAATGTGCGCGGCGACGGAGAGGGAGGGAGGAAAGCGAGTGCGCAAATAGGCAGCCAGGCACATCGGCAGCCGCGGCAGAGCATCTTCCTGATCCTGATCTCCCGTGTCTTCAGCTGCCAATTCTTCGTGTGCGTCTCTGATTGAGATTTCACTGCCGGGCTGAAGTGTCCAGAAGCCTCCGCCAACCATCACCTCCCACTACACACTTTCTCCGGAGCTCGGTTATTCTTAGCTCAGCTGTGAGAGACTGTCCTTCCGGTCCTTCTCTTATTTATCTCAGTTTCTTGAATATTTAATGGAAAATGGCGATCTGCGCACAGTCGTACGGTGTCTTCTGCCTCTTGACAATCCAAACTGTACTTATCATATGCGTCTCCACGCCGACAGCCGGGACCCACCTCTTCCCACAGCACTACACGTAAGTACCCTGCACGGTTTTGGTGGGGAGGATAAACTGGGGGGGTGCGGAGTGCGGAACTAGGACAGGTGGCCCCAGACGAGCCTGCACATGAAGCGGCGTTTACCTTGGTGCGAGATGAGCCGCTGTCCCTGATGCTGACACGCAGACGCAGCTTCCGTCTCCGATGCTGCGTTATGAGTGTCATTCTCACACGGCTTATGTTGTTGTTGTGGTGGTGTTGGTGGGCACTGGCATTAAAGCCCAAAGTCTTATTCCGCTAGTGACAGTCAACATGGAGTACGCACATGTGGCGAAAGAAAAAGGAGGTGGGGGGGAGAAAACACAGTGCCAGCGATAGTTAAAAATACAAAAAAATATTAAAGAGATAGTCCGAATGTTGTTTTGCTGTCAGTGCAGGAGGGAGAATATCCCGCTTAGGCGCAGTCCTCTACAAAGTCTCTAAAAGCACTCGCACCGTGAAAGTAATCATATCTATCTCACCGCAGGGTGTGTTTTTTGTTTTGTTTTTGCTTTTAATGGCTCATTTTGTTTCAGACTCTAAATGTGGAAACGTCACACTCGAAATTTAGACGCACTTGAGGGCAGCATTACAAGTGACCGCAGGGCTCAGAAAGTAGTAAAGCATCCAGCTGTGAGGAAAGCACAAAAAATAAAGCAAAAATACAAACACACAAAAAAACCTATTTCTGGAATTATTCAGCGCACATCTGTTGGGGGGAATATCTAGCATTTATACCCCCATTCCCTTCTCTTATGCGAACATTATAATAATTTCACCTTGAAGGACGCGCAAAGGCGACTGAAGCCAAATGTTTACTGCGACAGTTTACCACCTGTGCACCGTCAACTATTCAATAAAAGTCAGTAATTTACCCCCCAAAAAATATTTTTTCCCTATTTTTTTTCTTTCAATGGCTATTACTTCACTTAAGATTGTATTTCAAAGTTCCGATAATCCTCTTTATGCTCACCAATAAACCCTCGTGAGTGCAACAGTTAGTCTCACACTGAAGTATCGCTCCAAATGTCGCCCTCTTTATAATAACCATGACGTGATGATCTGATGCGAAGACTGCGTGTAGCCCGAAGTGCTGTTTAGTCAGTCAGGTTCCCAGAAATGATTCCTGTGTGATGCATCAACCAGATCATGTCTTTTAAAATCTCCGGGGCTCTGTTAATTCGATGGCCAAGGTGACTTTCAAAAAAAAATAAAAAAATAAAAAAATCAGTTATCTTTTATTCTACTGTGGATTGACTTAAAACTACAATTTACCGGATCACTGATTTGATTGTTTTAGCTCTGTAAGTGATGCAGTTAATTTATCTTACACCCGAGTTACTTTGCAAACAAAACCCTGAAATTCAGTTTATTATTACTTTTAAGCAACCCTAATTTCCATCTCCCCCCCGTTTAAAGACACGTTTATTTTCCAAACCTACGTTTTCTTTAACTATACACTATTGTTCCTTTTTAATAGAGAAACTGTGTCATTATTTCTTACTTTCCCGGTGTCCTTGTTTAAGCAGATAAAGAGAAGCTAAATATCCTGTAGGGCTGGTTATATATGCAGTCTGTGTTTTATCCAGTCCTCTCTTGAGATTTCTAAACTGGGTTTTGGGTCACCCACATCACTGTGGTATTTGCCAGAATTTGACAGTTAATTGAAGTGTATCGGGAGCAATGGTGGCAGTTTATTTGATGTATATTGCTGACACACACAGACACACAAACACGCCCATGCACGGGTCAGAGCTTCTCCGTGTTCGAGGTCTAGCTGAAGAAATGCACGAATAAGGATGCTCGCTTCGTTTTCACAGCAGTCGCCAGAAAGTGTGCGTTTTCTACAGTTTGCCATCTACCAGTATGGTCTTCATAGTACTAAATATTACACTGAAGTGTTGTTTATGCTTATAATTTAGTGTGTATGTAGGTGTGTGTGGTAGACTGAGAGGTATCTGCAGGGGAAGTTATTTCCTCATTTCTAAAAAAAAAAAAAAAAGTTGATAACTGGAATCTAAATGTCAAAATATCATCAGCACTTTGCACCAGATGATATGACCACACACAAAAATAGCTCACCTTCTGCCCTAATAGATAGATAGAGAGTGGCACTTCGAATGATGAGATCCATTGCGGCCGAATGAGCGTAGTGACAGTATGGGTCTGACTCACGCAGGTCTTCCATCCAAAGTAATTTCATCACACTTTCTGCTTTTCCATAATGTTTGGCTAACATAAATCATAAAACAACCAAGGCGAATCAAAACACAAGAAGGCAAATGGCAAAGTTGTACTGCTGCTTTGGACTACAGAGAGCCAGAGAGCATCAGTCGGCTTTCATGTAGTGCATTATGACAACTTTTGTCTTTTAAAGAGAGATCACAGCTTTCATAATGCAGAAGGTCTCCGAGCACTCACTGAGCATTAGGCCACAGTAATGCGTATAATTTACCAAACAACTGCGTCCTGTTATCTCTGCAGCTGCTATTGAATGAACACTTCTGCATATTTGATACTGCAAGATATTTTTTTGCCACGCAGTCTCCAACTTCTTGCTTTGTGCTTTAAAACATTGTTATGCCAGCTTCATGTGACCTGGTGTGATGCAAGTCGTGTAGTCTGTTCACACGCAGAATATAAATATGACACAGATGTTATTTTAAGTGTTAAATGTATTCAACTTAGACTGAAACCATTAGATAGGAGGCCTTTGTGCATCAGTGCACGTGTGCATAAATGACCTATAGATACTTTTATCACAATATGAGACACGATATTAGCTGAGATTTTTAGATTTATTAGATTTTAATTGGTGGCCTAAGCTTAAACATATGTCTTGACATAATATGCAGTGGAAGGGTATTTATGTGTAGCTCACCTACAAGTCTCCCAATCCAAACTTGTGTTTCTTTATCCCTGGAGTGGGCAATGTGAAAAAAGTAATATGGCCTTAATATTGCTATGCATTTTTTACATACTGACTAAAATATTCAAATCACATGGTGAACATTTAAACTGATGGCTATCCTTCTGTGTCAAATCAATCTCATATTATAAGTCTTTAAGAGAAACATGCATCTCATGCAAGCATGCATCTATCTATCTATCTATCTATCTATCTATCTATCTATCTATCTATCTATCTATCTATCTATCTATCTATCTATCTATCTATCTATCTATCTATC